CTCCCCTCCGCCCTGCCACCCTCCCCGCGGCGCAGCCGGCGCCAACCCTCCCCTTCCTCCTAGCCCGCCCTGCAGGAGCACACTTGCGCTCGTTGTCCGTCCGTCTCTCTTTTCCTCTCTCTTCTGACTAATTCCCCCATCCCTGCCATTCTTTCGGTCCTCGACGGCCCGTACCACCGCGGGTGCGACAAGGACAGACTGAGGCCCCCACGCCACACAACGATATGAGGACGTCGTGTCAACTGTCCGACACATCTTAACGAGAGAGAGAGAGAGAGAGAGAGAGAGAGAGAGAGAGAGAGACGGTGTCGCGCTCTCTTTCTTCTCCACCACCTGCGTTCAAATCCCTCGCGACGAACAACTTTAGTAAGACGTACCGCCGGAGGCCATATCCTCCTCCTCCTCCTAGTTCTTTATAGAAATCTTGGCATGAAAATAAAAGCGACGCGCGCGATGCAGCGGGAACACCATATTATATGCGAGAGGGAGGCCGGCGCCCCGCCCCGCCCCGCCGCGCCCCGCCGCGGCGACGCCAAAAGGGAAAAAATCGCCTAGCGTGCTGTGCGTCGCTGTGCGAGGCCGTGGCGGCGGCGGGCCGGGGCCGTCCCGGGCGGCAGGAGTGCGACTGACGTGAAAGAGGGGGCTTTTTTCCGCACCGGTTAGCATTTGGCGGGCCAGGCGGCGACGGCGGCGGCGGCATGTGAGAGCGAGACAGCGACGGAGAGAGAAAGGGGGAGAGAGAAAGAGAGAGAGGGGGAGAGAGATGAGGGGTTGATGGCGGCTCGGCCCGTTTTCATTCGGAATTACTTGGCGTGTTGGCAGAAACACACGCTTCTCCTCCCCGGGCCCCCTGCTCTGTCTCTGTCTCTCTGACTCTCTCGCTCTCTTTCCGCCGCACAAGGCGACGGCGCGCCGCTCAACGACTTTTGCACCGAGGGTGACGACAATTACATCTGCCGCTATGGGCCGCCCCGCCCCGCCCCGCCATGTGGATCCATTAGGGGATCCTGCGCGGTCCTCAAAGTCAGTGTAACGACTCTCCGCGCGGCGCAAGGTCGTTCCCACCTCCTCATCCTGCTCCTGCCCACGACGGTACTCCTCCTTGCTGCACACGCACCCGCACGCACGCACGCACGCACGCATGCACACACACACACACACACACACACACACACACACACACTTGTGCGCATGGTTATGGTTCCCTCGAAATAGTTTCAATGAATTGCGCACACGACGTTCAAACAACGACCTGAACACCACGGTGAGCTCGGCAAGGTTCAAGGTAGGCTCCATGTTGTTGTAGGGTTTTGATCAACTCCAGGTGCATCTCTTCTGATCTCTCTCTGCCCGCACAACAAGAGCCCCCCCTCAGAGCTCAAACCGCGGCCCGCCGACTCCAGGGGCGGAGCGGACAGCAGCCAGCCTCCCGTGGTGGAGCAGGGCACGGTAGTGTAGACGGCGTGCGACACACAATCACCACATCAACCGATCGAATTCGATACAACAGTGAACATTTACGATTGCGGTCCTTTGACTTTGATACGATTTTTGCCGCGAAGAACAGGCATTACCCGAGCGGGTCGCCAACGATTGTGTCAAGACAATCATCGTTTCAGATTGCGGATGATTGTGTCTGTCGATTCAGAGTGATTGTGTCCGAATGTTTCTATCCCGGTGTACAAATATGGTGTAAGGTTCCAAACCCCTCGACATTACCATTTTAACTGATAACTTTACGACAATGTTCGCAGAAAAATTTTCCAGAAACCTTCGAATATATTTTTTCTTAGTGGTACTAACCTCCGCCCCCTGCCTTTCCTCTGTTCCAGGTGAAGATCTGGTTCCAGAACCGTCGGATGAAGTGGCGCAACTCCAAGGAGCGCGAGCTGCTGGCGGCGGGCGGCTCCCGCGAGCAGACGCTGCCCAACAAGAACAACCCCCACCCGGACCTGAGCGACGCCGAGGCGGACCGCGCCAAGCTCGAGCTGTCGGACGGGCTGGCGGACGAGGACGGCGGCGCGGGCCTCCACCCGGGCGGCCCGGGCACGCCGCCGATGACGCCGTCGCCCCGGGACCTGTCCGCTGAGTGCGGGTCACCGCACGACCTGTCCTCCGAGCCCGGTGGCGGTGGCGGCGGCCGGCCGCCCGACGCCGGCGACGACTCCGAGGTCGGCGACGACGACGAGGACGACGACGAGGAGATCAACGTGACGTGAAGGCCGCCGACGACGACGCCCATGGAGAAGCAAAGTGCGGTCGCGATGGACCTCCGTGCCCGTCGTGGCCTCCGAGCCCCGGGCCGGTGCCCCCGGCCGCCCCCCGGGAGGTCCCCGCTGTTAATTTTTGCCCGCGAGACTGTGTAGCTGAGGGGAGGGTGCGAGAGCATGCCGCTCGCTCCAACGCGCCGCGCCGCGCCAGAGAGTTTACGAGAGAGAGAGAGAGCGCGAGCGCCACGGGAGCGAGAGAGAAAGAGAGAGGGGGGGAATTCTCACTTCCTGCCCGCCGAGCCACGCACCGCGCGGCGCGGGGGGAAAATAAGCTGTCATTTCCAGCGGAGAGCATCCGAACACGGCGCGCGGCGGGCTCAGCGGGGTCAGCTCCCTCCAGCCGCCCCCAGCAACGCTCCAGCGCCGCTCGGCCCCTCTCCAGTTCTGTGATAAACTGATTAAGTCTCGAGGAGTACGACGATGTTTGTTTATTATTATTATTTTTTAGTTGTTTGGTTACCACGACGACGAGCATGAGCGACGACCTGTGCACTCGCCGCGAGCACCGAATAAGTCAAGAGTAAATTGTTTTAGTGCATGATAGCGTACAGCTGTTTGTCACTATGCTGTTCCGTCAAATCGATATGGAAAAGGAACAATAAACGATTTAAACAATGTAAAAAGAACGATCAGTTGTGCGCCGCACCCCGCTACCTTTGTAAAAACAGAATATTAACATACGTGATAAAGTTTTGGACGAAGTGTCATAGCAATCTTCTTGACCAGTTTAGTGTCAGCGGTAATTAAAAAGGTCCATTTGCGCTGTCGTTCGTGTTTCTCACCCAACGTTTTTTTTTTAGAATAATGGAAAGAGTTTAACTATATTGAGATTGCGTTATTATTATTAATATTATTATTATATTATGTAAAAATTGTATAAAATTGACATGTCAAACTTTTATCTACTATGTAGGTACCTAGTAAGAGAACAAGAGGAAGAAAAAAAGGAAAGAATTAAAAAAAAATTAAATCTCTTAGATTCTTCTGCAAATTAGTCTCCTTTTTCTACGCCGTTTCCTAGAACACTAAACACACACACACACACACACACACGCACACACACACACGGTGGCAATATGTTTTCATGACCGTCTCGCTTTAACCCCCCCAGGCGGCACGAGCGAGGGAGCGTGGGACCGCAGGCTCACCAGTCGGCGCCACACTCAGCCTCCCCCTCCCCCCCTCCCTAACCGGCGCCGCACGGCCCGCCGCGAGTTCCAATTTAATTAAGAAGCGATAAAGAGATTTTCCAGCTCAAGAGGTCTGTGAGGGCCGAGGTGGGGGAGAGGGGGGATACTGCCACCGCCAAACCACCATATTCTATCATCGCGCTTGCCCTCCTCTCTCTCTCTCTCTCTCTCTCTCTCTCCCCTTCGTCTCCCTTCCTCTCCCTCGAGAGATACCGATACGCAGGACTCCAGGCGCGTCTATATACCGCCGCACTTCCCTGGTGGTCTCCTTACCGGAGCGGAAAGTTCCCTCCTCCTTAGCGCCCCGCCCGTGGCTCCGTGGCCCCCGCGCCCGCGGGCGGCCGGGTAGGCCGCCATCTCGGCCGGGCTGCGCGGCGGGCGGGCCCGAGCACCAGGCTGCCGCTGCCGCTGCCGCAGCACGGGGCCCGGGCCAGGGGGCGGTCAGCGGGGACGTGCGCATTTCATCGTCAAGGACCCCGTCAGCTCCTCAAGGCATCCACAGCACTGCCGCGAGGTTGGTATGTATTCTAGTCCCGCGCGCGAGGCAGACGGTTGTCGTCGGAAACGGAGAGTGAATGAGGAACAGAGGATAGAGAGGAGGACTAGGCAGAGAGAGAGAGAGTGAGATAAGTGAGAGAGAGTGAGAGAGAGACCCATCACCCGGAGGGGCGTGGCGGGGGGCGGGGGGAGCGAGGGAGGAGGGGCTTGTCTCTTCGCGCTGACGTAAGCCCCGTTTCCGCGCGCGCGGGGGTCGTCGTCGCCAGGTACAACACCACCACACCCGAGCAGACAACGTCAGACTGATTTAGTTCCCCGCTCCGCTCCGGTCGCAGTAAAAAGGGCGTGGCGGGGCGGGGCTGGCGTTCCTGAGCAGCCGTCAGATTGTTGCGCGCAAGACACAAGAGCGGTGACAGACAGGTGCCAACAAGGCGCGCAGGGTGTGCAGTGCTAGATGTTGCAG